GGATCAATAACCCACAAACCAAGAAGGCTTTTCATGCTCCTTCCAGTCTATTGAACCACTGGAAAAAGTTGTCACTACAGTTTCCTCAAGCTAAACATGCACAGTCTTTTTTTAAGCCCATACATGGCACAACAGTTAAGAATAACTCCAAGGCCATTAGGGTTTGTCATTATTCAGTGCTGGCATTAATAGCCTTGTGTTTAAAACCTCCAAACACAGCTAACTAGATTTTTTTTTTAGGAAAACATTCCAGTGGATTGGATTTATTTTTTCTGCATGTGACAGCAGGAGGTCAAATTTTATATTCTTGGGCTCTCCTCTTAAGTCTTCTCAGCCACCAGGCTTCACACAGAGCCAGAGGAAAATCTACCCCATCTCTGACATGATTTGGGAGGAGTTAATGCAGTGTAGCTACTTTCATAAATTGGAAGGGTTTCTATACCAGCAAATATAGGGGGGACCTTACAGTGACCTTGCAATACCTGAAAGGGGCCTATAAGAAGGCTGGGGAAGAGCTGTTCATAAGGGCATGCAACAATAGGACAAGAGGTAATGGTTTTAAGACAGAAAAGGGTAGATTTTGGTTGGACATCAGGAGAAAGCACTTTAATATGAGGGTGGTGGATCACTGGAACAGGTTGCATAGAGAGGCGGTGAAGGCCCCATCCCTGGAGACATTCAAGGTCAGGCTTGATGAGGATGTGATCACGCTGCTGAATGTAGGGGGGTTAGACAACCTTTAGAGGTCCCTTCCAACTCAAGAAATTCTATGATTCTATGAAATAAACTATCTTGGCTTCTTATTTCCCATGTATAGCAATTCTCAAGCCAGCAGCATGAAAGTGCTCCCTTATGTATGGCCCATTGGACTTTGTTTGCTTTGGGCTTCCTCCACTATTTAAAATAATTTCTTTTCAGTTCAGACTGGAACACATGGCTACAGGCAGCAGTTACACCAACAGCTCTCATCTCTGAGATCTTTCAGAGGTAAAACCAAAATGACAAGCAGTGCCCATCATCCCACTGGCCTCTTACAATACTAATTCACTGAGTGGTCACACACATCAAAGTCTAAATTCTCCGTGATTTCTGCGGGTTTTTGAAGAGAGTCTCAGACTTGCTCTCAAAACAATAAATGTCCTTTTCCTACTGGCTTACAAAACTACAGCTCTACAAAATCCTCCCACTGTCACCTGCAGAGATGCAGATTGTTTCATCAAAGTCTATCTCGTTCTTGAACAGTGACTTTGAAGAGTAGGAGGCTGGCATTTGCTGTGCTTATACACCAGAGTGTCTCCAGGTTCTCTAAGAGCTGCTACAGTTCCTCTTCAGAGGAGCAGCTACATTTCTCACTCTCCATAACTTGATTAAACACACCCACACAACTGCTTAGCCTGTGCTGTTGACAGAAGAAAGGCACCAAGGGCTGTAACACCACAGAGACCCTACTGATGAGTATTTTCAAAATCAACTGGAGGATTAGCCGATGGCAAGTTTAGTGACTTCCAATGTCTGCAATCCTGCACCAGCACAGGTGGCTCATGGGGACGACCAATACCACCTTCTTTTAGAGACCTGCACTGCAATCACCTCAGTTTTCCCCTACACCCCTGGAAAGGCTACAGGTAAGTGACCAAGGACAGGAGGCCAAGTTAGGTGACTTAATTACCCACTGAGGACTCCTCACTGACGGATACCTGAGCAGATTAAAGTTGGCAGTGTGAACGGCCACACCACTGTCTGGCTTCCATTAAGTACAAAGACAGTGGAGGAAATGAAAAACTGCAGAGACTGGAGGAAGAAACAGTGCTTTACTCACCCTCTCCCAAGGGAGATCAAAACAGGCTTCTCCATCCCAATCAGAAGCCGAAAAGCTTCGTTAAGGTTTGCATAGGTGAAGTTTTCTGCTGCATCTCCAAGAACCACACAGTTGGGGTTTGTTTTATCAAGTTCAGCAAATTCAGGGACAAGATCTACAGAAGGAGAAAAAAAAAATAAAAAGATCTACAAACCCCTTAGCATTTCAGATCCCATTGGAACTGATGGTTTTCCCGTGGATTTGTGTTTCCATTCATTAATCACTCAACACATTAATTAAAAAAAATATATAAATCCAAGTATGAATCAGCTGTTCTTCAGACCCTCTATTCCCAAGTGGATCCTGCTATTCCTGTCCTGTAACAAAAAGCAAAATAAATAATTCCCTGCCCTCCTTGCCTTAGCTCCCACCATCCATATCTCAGTGGTTCCTTGCACCCAAGCACCCAGACCTGAGGCAAACTCCTGGGTAGTTGAATGAAAATGTGTAACAGTGAGGGCAGGACCCACCTCCTTCCTCTGCACCCACACTCTACAGGAGAAAACACTTCAAACTTAAACCTCTGCCATGAAAACAAAGGCAATGTAACGTCCTGCACAAGACCTCACCCACCTCCTAGTCTCTGTGGTTGAGCAGCAGACTCCTCTGTGCACTTGCTGACCCCCAGTACAACTCTGTGCCTGCAACTCTGCCATAACTGAGATCTTGCTCAGACCAGACCGTTCAGGTCTATTCCACAGTCTCACAACTAAGGAAAACAACAGCTGGGAGCTCTTCCCTGCCCGAACTATGGGAATTCACTGCTCTACTGCTAGTGCCCACATCTCCCTGGGCTGCCCCCCTAGGTGTCCCTGCATCTGCTGCAGCGTTGTCCCACCGTCGTGGACGAGCAGGTGTGGCCTCAGGCCGCGCTCCTTCAGAAGGCGGCAGGCGGCTGGTGCCGGGGCCGTGACTTCGGCCACGGAGATGTCAAAGCCCATGCCCTGGAGCTTCTTCACAAACTTCTCCCGGGTCGCTTGGGTTTCGTTAGTGCAGAGCTGCAGCTTCAGACCAGATGCCTTGATCCTATCAAGTAAAAGCAGCGAAGGGGTTAACCAGACATAGGAAATGAGCTAAGACATCAGCTTTGCCGTCCCACACCTAGCTTGGATGGTTGCAATTAAAATGCAATGATGATGTTACAGACCAGGAGCAGGATCCCTTTTTGTGACCAAGACACACATAAAATATTGATTCTGGGCACTATGGTTGCAGTTCTCATGTGCAGAGTCCGGGCCCTAGCATGTAACCACCCTTCCAGAGAGCTAAGCTGAACATGGCAGCACAGGTGATGTCCACCCATCCCAGGACACCACACACGTACTCACTTCTTCCACACCTCAGAAACTCCAAAATCCAATTCCTTTTCTTTAAACTGTCCCACAGATGTGGACACACATGACCTGAAGGCACTGCATGGCCATGAGTACAGTACCTGGTGAGAGACCAGAGGCTGTGATCTACATTTTAACTTGGATTTTCACCTTTCCACGTACTGATCACCTGCTGCAGTAACCTCCTGGAGGTAACAGCAAGGCTCTGCACATCTGCAGACTCCAGGCAAGAGGCCAGCAAGTTGCAGTGATGCTTCTATCAACACTGGGTTGGCTTCAGCTACATTTATCACTTAATCTCTCCTAAAACACCTGTGCTGTTACTTGGTGGGTAATCCTGAAAAATATGGTGCTGCAACTGACTCATTAATAAATGAATCTGCTTCTCAAGGGAAGAAAACATGGCCCCAAGTGCCCAGAGCCAAGGACAAGGCTTCTGTGAAGAAATCCAATCTTGTGCAAGTCCCTTGCCTCTGAGCAGCTTTGATTCCTGACCCAAGCTCTGGTGACCCTCTTAGGGGTGTCACAAAAAGGCCTCTTCTTCTCCAGTGATGAGCTGTCAGCTATTTGGATAAATAAAGTATTCAAAGTAGCCATGGAAAGAAGAACTGAAAATTAATCACAATTAATATATATATATAAGTTTGGCAAAAGGACTGTCACTCAGCTCCTCGAATATATTAAAATACCTAATTTTTGTCAGCTTTAGAGCGAATTTGCACATAATTTTCTTGGAGGAACTAGGCTAGTATAAGTTTAGAAACCTTTGAGGTTAGGTTTATAAATTAATATTAAAATAGTATTACATTTTTTGTGTTAGGATAAAGACTAGGATAATTTTATATTTAGGATATATAAAAATTATATATTATTATATATAATAATATAAGAATTATAATATTATTATAAAAAAAGAACTTTTCTATTAGGAAAGCCCCTGCATTGATTCTCAAGACAACCAAATGTGAAGGGTTCCTTCTCTAAGGAAGATGACCCCAATTGGTTGGTGTAAACACCAAAACCATGTCAAGGGAATTAATCTGATGATGAATTTTCCACCAAAGGATTCTTAGAAATCCAGTCCTGACCCAGAGAGCCCCTTCTACTTCTTAAAACTGCATGCCAGTGTCTTCTTCAATACCATAGGTGATTCATTTCTTTCTTATTATTTGTCTTTCCTAATCATAGGTATGTGAATTATCAATTACACTTAGTGGTTAATTGCCCTTCATAAAGATAGCTTTTCTATTTTAAATTAGGCAGTTAATATATTGTAACTAATAGCATCCACTTGTACATTATAAATATATCTTCATTGATTGGAGCAGTGAATGTGAGATTCACTCACAAGTTAATGAAGCAATTGAGTGAAGAAGTGCAGGGTGTACCCAGGGAATAATTATTGTTAATGAATTATGATGTGACCTTCTCAGAACAATGAACAATCGGTGTGACAGTGGGATGACAGCATTCCACATCTGTTATTTGAAACACAGTTTCAGCTGGATTTGAAAAGCAAAGCAGTGCAATTGGGATCTAAAATAAACTTTAATAGACATTGTCGTGGTTAAAAAAAAAATCTCATTCTAAATGCAGAGCCTTTCTGCAGACTCTTAGGAAAAAGAAACCCATGATTCATCACTGCCTGGAAGCAGATATTTGTTGAATAAGAATCTATTCTTTCTCTTCTTAAAGGTTTAAGAAATGAATCGAGGAACAACACTAACCACTGACTTGCCCTGAAAAACAAATGTGCCCTCAGAGGTCAGTTTGAGGAAGGCAGATTTGGCTTTTCTGTATTACACATTAAACTCCTCAGAGCTTCAGATAAAAAACAGAGCAAAACTTCTGAAAGGCATGACCAAAACAGAAGCAGCCTGGACATATCCTGGACTGTTTCATGCCTTCATGAACTCAGCAATTACAGCTCAACAAATGAGCTCAATAAATGCTTAGGAGCAGGTGAGGTCTACAAAGAGTCAGGCCAACCTGGTCAGAAAATGGGACTTCTCAGGTGAAACATGAATAGGGCTCTCAAAAATATCCTGGGAGACTACACAAAAGAAGCGTGTCTGTGAAGACCCTCTGCTAGCTCTGCACCAAATCCTTGTACAATACAGTCACACTCCAAGCACGGTTATATACACAGTGGGATGGATCTACCCCTTGATGCCCAGCATGGGGACCATGAGCAGAGCCTGCAGGCCAGCACGTATCAGCAAACAACCGTTAACTCAGACCTTAAATAATTAGGGAGAGCTTTTAACAACAGGTCTACATGGGAGAAATCCTGGCTCTGCTTGTGTTTACAGCAAAATTAGCCTTCAGTTTTCATGGTCAGGTTTTGCACCAGGAGGAACTAAGAGATGCCTGACAGAGATGAGATACTTTGCACAGCCAGTCAATACTGTACTGGAGGCACTGCTGCTAAACTTGCCAACTTAATGGGAAACTTTGAGCTACTGAGCTGATCCAACCACCAGAGTTCACATTTTAAGAAGCGTGTGTGGAGCAAGTTACCACCATTTCTAGTGCCAGCAAGCGTGGGGATGTTAGGAGCGGAATAAAGAACATTTGTAAGGCGATGCCTTGTGAGATAAAGAGCAATGGATTAGATACCTGCAAGTGCAGAAGAATGAGGCAACAGCAGATGAAATATATTTATCAAGATCTCCAGCGTCTTACAGATTTATCGACATCTGAATTACAGCAGCACAGGCACAGCCAGGAACCCCAGTGGGTCAGGGCTGCAGCTGATTTCCACACCTCGTGGCTGGGATTAGGATCCCAGCCAGACTCCAGAAGCAGCAGAAATCAATCCTGCTTAGAGCACAAGCTGAGCACACGGGCAGGCAGAGGGGACTATGAGCCAGGTAGCTGTGGGCAGCCCAAGGCCAGCTCTGGCTCCCCGTTCAGGTCCGGCAGCAGGCTCAGCCTCAGACAAATCTGCCCCACTGCTGACATGCTGAACTAAAGGAACAAGTCACAACAGACACTTCTGAGCCCAAAATGACAAGCAGACAGATGAGCACTGAACTAACACCAACAGGTGGGTAAGCAGCCTTTTTCTAAGCCTCACCAGAGGAGGGATTTGAACCCACTCCAGACTGAAACAACCACTGGATTGCCCAAACAATCCCTAAATCTAGAACCAGGGCACCCACACGGCCCTGGGCATGACGTGAGCACTTGTACAGGGGAGAGATGGAAATGAGGGGTTTAATTTCAGCCCCGAGCTGCCCCTCATGCTACGCCAGCTCTTTGAACTGACCTTTACCTCATTGTGCTGGAGCAGGACACGAGGCTGAGTGACAATGTCCCACAATGCAATTACCGTGCGTCTGATGAGCCGGTCCCTTACAAATCACCTCGAACTTTACACATCTGCTGGCTGTCAGCATCTGCCAGGCTCACTCACCCGAAAATAATGAAAAAACTCTCATTATTGTTCCATAACAGGTAAAGTGTTAGGACAATTATTAGACATCCTGACTGACCTTGTGCAGACTTTACCAACTGCCCTTGCCAACCTTTACAGGCAGCCTTTGGGCATATAAAACACAGAACCTGCTCTTTCAGATGATGTAAAGCTTGCTAGAAAAAGAAATGGCCCTGGAATCTAGGCTGGAAGCCATCACTCCTTCTTAAATTCACATTGTCCTGCACTTGGTAGAAGGAACTAAGGACACTGTATAAAGCTAAACTTCACATCTGCTATCTTTGATCACTGTCTTCTGCAACAAAGGTTTTTCCTAACACAGGAGCAGGAGAGTCCTGTGCAGACGGGCAGGGAGATAGAAAGCAAAACCCTTGGAAGAAGCAACCAGCCTGAGCTTGGCAACTGTCCAAAGCCAACTTCAAAGGGGTTTGGAAGAGCCCTGGTTATGAGATTTCCTGAGCAATCTTTTTATCCTGCTTTTGGTTTTTCAGAGTGGGTTTTGTCGTTGTTTTATTTTGGTTTGTTTTTTTTAATTTAAAAGAAGAAAAAAACCCCGTGCTTAGCACTTATGTTATTTTACTCTTTTGCTGGAGCAAATGAGTACCAGTGTGCTTCAGTATAAACCTGTCAGTGTAAAGCCTAACACCATCTCGGAAGCACTGGGGAAAACTAATACCAGAGAGTTATCTACCTGCAACCAAACAATCAAGTAAAACCAGGACTTGGTCAGGAATGCTGTCCTCTCCTCAGGGCAAAGCCAACATTTGCTTATTGCCTCTGCAAGGGCCAGGGTGCTGGTGCTACAGGTGAAACATCTGTCATGAGGGGATGAAACCAAGCCAAGAAGAAACTGAGCCTAATGGTCAAAAGTAGAAATGACTTGCCTAGTTTCAAGGTCCATATAGAAGAAAGAGTTTGAAAAGAGCAGAAAACTACACCACTTCTTTAGCCTGCCTGGCTGACAGAAGACCACAGCACCAAACGGGGTTTTAGCCAGCATCTGAAAAATTGAATTGAAATGGGGTTTGCAGCAAGCCATCAGTACTAGTCCCCACCAGTCTGCATAACGGTGGGTAGAAGCTCATCCAGACCACATCTTGGAGTGTCAAATTATATTACATCTATGAATTAATGCAAATCCTAAGCCTGATTTTGCAGGCTTTTCCCAGAAAAATCTCCCACTGCTGGAGCAGGATGAACGCTTGAGGATGCAAAAGGGCTTTCTGGCTCAATGCTGGCTGAAAGTGTTAACA